AGGGGCTGCAGAAGCAGCTCTGTTTCCCCACTCCCCCTTTTTCCCTGCCTCTGCCCATTTTGTGAATGGCCAAAACTCTCACTGTCAAATTCTCAACGAATTTCAGGGTGACTGAAATGACATTTTACATCGAGTAAACTATTCATCTGAAACCCTTTGCTCAGCTCTAGTCCTAATCCAACAGGGATAACTCCCATCAGGGATAACTCCCATCTCCCAGGGGAGGAAGAGTGTCAGGTTGGGCTGCTTGGGTAGAAAGGGTTGAGTAGGAAGGCCTAAGGGTTAAGCAGCCCTTGCCTATAGGAGAGCAGCAAGCATTAGCTGTCCCCCCAGTTCCTCTCACATGGCTGCTGTCCCCAAGGCATTGTGATCACTGCCCAGGACCCATGGCAGGAGTGGAACAGCTATGTGCACATCTGGGTGAGCAATTCCCATTGCTCATTAACAATTTTCTGCTGCAGTGGGCCAGTGGCTTTCCACCGAAGCCATTAGTTTAACATCTCCATGGTTAAAAAATGCACAGGCATGCAGCAAAGGCCAGTGAGACTCAGCCAACGGGATGGGTGGGCTGCTGAGCAAGGTGCCATAAACATCTTGTAAGGTGCTCTCCTACTGACATTTCATCCTCTGATGACCTGAATCATGGCAGCCGACTTTCGTCTCCTCCTCTGCAGCCAGCGAGGTGAAGGGAAATAAAGAGCATTCTCAATCGATTCAAAGGTGCCCCGCTCTGCCGGATACATGAGGGCACAAATGCCTGGTCCCATAGACTTAGCCAGCATGTGGGGCCCAAAATCCCACCCCACATTGGCCGGGGCATCACTGAGGATTTGGGCGCTGACGGAGCTCCTTTGTCCTAGAGCAGCCACTGACATAGGTCAGGTGGACCAGGCTAGGTCAAGAGTTTTCTAAAATTCAGTGGATGCTCCTGATGGCACAGAAGATGCTGAAAGATGAACCAGCAGAAAAAGAGTTGAAGTGTGTCACTCTCTGGTGGCTTAAAGCTGTCTAGCACCTTTCCTCCCAAAGAGCTTTACAGAGCACAGGATCTGTGTAGAGGTCATTTCACACACCACGGGTCACACGGGTCACACAACGGTGAACAGCAATGCCCCACAATAGTCTGAGACAGGAAGTGAAGGACAATCCCATTTCCATCTGAAACCATTGGGCGATTTAGGGATGAAGGATAGAATTAACTAAACTGGGATTTGCTCAAGACATCAGCGCTAACCTCCCAACTCTTCCGCCAACTATGAAAATTCCTTTAAGGAACACAAAAAGCCAGATCCCAGGTCTGGATATGACTTTTTCTTGCAATTCAGTGCCTGCCAGCACCCAGTTGATTTACTATGGCTTTAAGTATATGGATGCTCCCGCAAAATGAATCATTAACCCCACTTCTCCTTGCACTTGGATTTTCCTTAGCTGACGAGTTAGGTGCTGATCCAACATGGCCCAGTTTAGCACCTGAAATCTGAGCAGAGGAGCCTCACTCAGATCAGAAATGGAGTGAGGAGTGTTGCAGGGATTCATCCAGCAAAAGGCCATAAGCCTACAGTCGAAAGCAACAGTCATTACTGTTTCTCCTAACACAGCCAGTGGCCCCCAGAATCCTGTTGCCATCTTGAGAGACTTGCCATTTCCACAGCAAGTGCCAGGAATAGAACCCAGGAATAGTCCTGGCTCCCTTATTATCTATCAACAGACAGATTTCCTATAGTGCCTATTGAGATAGTATGGCCCATGTCTAATCACTAGACCAAGGAGCCTCAAATCCTAATTCTGCTGCTTTAACCACTAGACTACACTCTCTCTGCCAGAAACAGAACCCAGGAGTCCTGAGCCACCTTTATCTTCCTTAACCACTTGACAATATTTCCTTCCAGAGCTAAGAATAGAACAAAGGTCTCTCAGATCCTCTCTCACATCAACAGCTCAGAGGTAGGCCTGATCCCTGGCAGCTGTGTTAACCATTAAGCTACATGCTCTACCCTAGGTCAGGACAGAGACCCAGGCCTGGCAGAGATTTCACACCTGAAGGCTTTTATGCTCCCTGCCCACCCGTCTATCACCCAGATTTATCTCTCTGCTGGAAACAGAATGTTTTCACATCCCCACAGATGGATCTGCCTTATAAGCATCTCCCAGCAGCTACAGCACAAGCTGCTTCCCTATGCAGCATACTTCCTGGTGGGGTTTTCCCCAAGTCATGTGCTCCCTAAATACCTATCAGTAATTCTAATAATAATGACTAAACGATACTTATAATTATTGGCAGCCATGCTTTATGCAGCTGCAGCAATTGTCACAAGAAGATCTCAAAGCATTCTGTGGACTCTACACCACACAGCCCCACAGAGGAAAAATACAGGACTATGTAGCACTTACATAGTCCTGTATTTTGCTTCAGCTACACCAGACTAACACGGCTACATTTCTACCACAGAGGTAAGTATTCCTAGCAGTCGGATATAAGGACTGTTGTAAGAAGAACACATTATTTATTAGATGTATTATGGTACCTGCTAGGAACCCCAGTAACAGACCTGGACTCCAAGATACTGGGCACAGTAGAGCATTTATTAGGTGTATTACAGTAGTACCTAGGAGGTCCAGGCCCTCATTGTTTTAGGTGCTGTGCAGACACAGAACAAGAAGTCAATCTCTGCCCCAAAGAGCTTCTAGCCCAGTAGTAGTATACTTCACAGATGAAGAAATGGAGGCACAAGACAGTGAAACCGGCGTTTCCCTGCGTAGCACAGATTGGAGGTTGTGATGGAAGCGATGTACATAGGACAGAGGAGGTTCATTCCAGGATCATTAGAAACCCTCACTGAATGGTTTCCAGGACAGGGGGACTGATCCCCCATTGCAGAATCCTTTTGCTCAAACCAATGCAGCTCTTACAGGTTCTGGCTTGACACCTCCGCAAAGGTGTATTCAGGGAATCAGGCTCCACCCTTTCCCAACACCCTATTTATTATGCCTCGCCTTGCCTCCTCTAGGGACAGGAGAAGGGTCTCTTGGCTCGCTCTGTCCTTGGCCTGTCTACAGAGATAGTTACCAAAGGCTCATTGTGACGGTGACTTTTCAGGGATGACCACCTGCCAGGCTGGGAACCGCAATGAGAAGCCATCAGCATTTTTCCCACGGGGCCTCCAAACAGCTGCCACATGGCTAAAAGGCCAGGGATGGTGGCAGCTTTGCGATATGAACCTGGTCCTGCCAGAAGCGGGGCTGAGCCCCAGCTAACTCGCTACATGCTTAGCTCATCACCCAGCTGTCAGATGGGGACAGTTTTGGCCGCTGCTGACCCAGGCTGGTTTCGGCTTGCAAGAAAATGGCTCCAGTGCTCCTCAAACTGAATCACCCTGTCCTTCCCTACAAAGTCCCTCTCCGTCTCCAGCCATGACTGATCTTAGTCCAGGCCAACACACCTCCAGCTGCAGCATCCCACGGGCTAGGCAGTAGACATCAACTCATCTCAGAGTCACAGGCTGAGCAATGGCTGAGCTAAGCTGGAGGCTCTGGGGTGACCCTTCTGAGCTGACAGCTCCCTTGCCCTTAGCTCTGCTCAGCTCAGTAGCTCTGGTCACGCCATAGTCAGAGTAGTGCCCAAGAAGAAGAAAGGGACTGAAAGAGGCAGTTTGAGACTGTACACTTCATGCCTGCCAGAAGCATCTGTTCTGTGGAGCAGGGGAGGAGGAGACAAAATAATACTGTTGTCTCCAGCACCACTCTCTCTCATTCGGTCTTTCTAGGGCTTAGACGGAGGAGGACAAAAGCAGCCAGGGAACAATCCCAGTCACTTTTGGGCAGAGAAGACGGGAAAGCGCCACGGCTTTATGACTTTGGGGAGAAAGGGAAGGAAAGGGGGAAAAGAGACGAAAGTTGAAATATAACGGAGAGGGAAGGGTTTGCAGAGCCTCCTCCCCCACCCCACTGAAGACAGAGCAAAGGCACAGGGGATCAAACCCAATGCTCCTGCACACCAGAGGGGAAAGAAATGTCCCATGGACCAGGAGCTGAGATGTTACATCACAGGCACCTGGAAATATCCTAGGTGGATAGCGTCTAGCTCTGGCTCACATTCCCAGACCTCTGAATTGGGAGTTTGAACAAAGCCTGAGAGCGGAGTTAAAAAGAGTGATGAGGGGAAATGTAACCAAGGAGACACTGACTCCGGTGTGGGAGGAGGCACTGGGGACCTGGGGAAGACCACCAACCAGAGGAGTTGAAATGGCCATGATCACATCTTGCTGCTCCTTCCTACTCTAGGATGAGCTTGAACCAACACCCCAAGAACTTGGGGGATGGTGTTTGACATCTGAGCCCCCGTGCTGGTTTTTGACAAGTGGGCCCTGCCTTTACAAAAGGCTGAACTAAACCCCCAAAGCCATACAACCGGGAATGCCACCAGCTTGGGAAGAGGGGAGTCTGGTGTCTGGAGTCACGTTTTGTGGCTTCATTCCCTTGCCTCGTATTTGTACCTGTGGAAGTGAGTCTGACAGCATGCAAAGGGGCCACAAACTCCAGAAAGATACCTCTTGTCACCCCCCGAAGGTTTCTCCTCTCCTCCCACCACCACACCCGTCATGTGCTACTCACCTGTATCTCATCAGCTCTTCAGAAAAGAGTAAGAACTGCCTGCACCCAGCAAAAGGCTAATGCAGCCAGCTGTGCTCAGCATCCCATCTCTTCATCAGAAGAAAAATAATCCCTCTCCCAGAACGCTTGCAGCCAGAGGATGTGGGACGAGGTGGGGGGAAGGGGAGGGTAGACAGGTGAGGTACGGATCCCAACCAAGCTCAGGGCATGGTGCTTCCCCCTGGAGAAGCCAGCTTCGAAATGAACCAGTGCCAGGTGACAGTCCCAGCCGTTGGGAGAAGGGGGAGGGGGAGATTTCCCTGATGATGAGGGAAGAGTAAGAGGGAGGGGATCCGAGATAGGGAGGAGAAATCAATCAGCTTGCTGTGCCTTGTCTTCAGTTCTGTACTAACCAGAAGGGGCGGAGGAAGCACTGCTTTGAACTGGGGGATGGGGAGAAAGCCACTACCCAACCCCCTCCCCTCACTTTGCATGCAGTGGGGGAGCCCTCTCTGTCTTGGACTTGACTCCACACAAGGATGTAGCTCTCTGGACGATCAGTCTGGTAGACCCTCTCCCTGCGCTGCCCTGCCTCTGCCAGGTAAGTCCCATCTTTACCAGAGCTCTCAATAAAAAGATCGCCAGCATCTATTCATTCATTCTCTGGGGGAGAAGGGCGGGGAGAGACCTTGCTATTTTTCATTTCCAGCCTCTTGTCTGCAGTCTGTGATTTCCTCCCTGGTTCCCCCATCCTGAACTGCTGCTTGGTTTCCCCTCCTTGCTTGGTTATTAAGTACATAAAACAATTCGTGACAGGAACCCAATTTAAATTATTTATGCAAACCGAAAAAAATGGTAATTAAACTACAGCTGCTGAAGCCCCTCGGGCGGCTTCTGGTCGCACAGAAGGAGTTGGCTCTGGCAGCCTTTTCCTGCCTATTTTCTAATCATCAGGAGAGAGTCTGTGCTGAACAAAACAAAGCACCCCACCGAGGAGTCCATTCTTGGGGAACGAACGAGCAGGGTTGCCTCTGGAAAACCCCCTGCTTCAGGAGCTGATTCTCTTCCCTCCAGCACAGTCTGGCTAAAACCACAATCAGGCCCAAGAGGTAGCCTGGAGAAGCCTGGATGATTACAATGGCTAAGCGGGTCTCAGGACACCCGTGAAGAGACTCTGCCTCCCCGTGTGCCCTTCAGAAGGTCACTTCCCCATCTGTAAAAGGGAGACGATGGCACCGTTCCACCTCTTGACGTGGGTTTGTGTAATGCTTTGCAAAGGAAAGCCTTGCCAAATTATTATTATTACTAGAAGATTGATCTGGCCTTGCTCGGGTCCTTAACGCAAATAAGGTTTGTTTTTCTTCATTTAAATTATTGCTCCAGGGCAGGGTTAGGGAGGAGAGTTCAGGTGCAGTTTGCCCTGGGGAGAGAAAACAACCCCAGCCCTCTCTCACCACAGCAGCTTGGGCCAGGTGAGAAGTACCTGTCCATGGCCATGGCAGCAAGCGCAGTCAGGGGAGGGGTGCAGGTCCCCCAGCTGGGGACAGACTGACACACAGACAAACTCTCTGAAATATATAGTAGGTAGCTGTCCCTTTCTCCATCCCTGCCCCCTACTACTCCAATGGGGTTATAGCTATCCCGGTCCCCATATCTGGCCCCTTGCTGCCTCCCTGTGGTCATTCTACAATATAGCTGTTCCTCCTACCAGACCCCTCCCTTTCCATTTTATGAGAAACAATCGAATTCCAGGCACAGTCCATTGTCCTGGCATAACAAACCCTGCCCTTGCTTTAAGTCATGATAAGAGAAAGCGTCATGCCAAATGTGGTGGTCCTAGCTCTTACCATTTAGGAGTTCTTGAAAAATGGATTCACAGATGGACAGACACACACATTTTCTCAGCTACATGGCAGATTATCACTTGTACTGAAGTCGAGCTGAGCAGCCATAATCAGGAAGCTGCACCATCATTTAACAGCACCACCCCTGTCCCAAAGAGATTAAACCCTGCATATTGAGAGAGAAGCTAGTATCGCCATCAAGCTGTGATCCACTCCTGTATATGCTCTGGTTTTCTCTGTTTTATCCACCTGTTGTGTCTCATCTTTGGATTGGAAGCTCTTTGGAGCAAGAAGCATCTTTTCATGAAATGTATGTACAGCACCTAGCACCACTGGATCCTGAGCTAGCATACTAAAAATCGGGCGTAGATGTGGCAGCACAAGCAGCAGATGGGGCCAGCCTCCACAGTACATACCCATCGGAAACCATAGGCCCATAGGTGGGAGATCCAGCCCCTCTGCTAGTGCTGCTATAGCACTTTTAACTCAAGCAGAGCCAGTGTGAGTCTCCTTGAGCAGGGAATCACATGCCCCACTTGAAGTGCAGACAAACCCTTAGATTTTAAAGGCAGAAAGACATTATATCATCTTGTCTGATCTCCTGTATTTCACAAGCCATATAAATTCACTCAGTTACTCCTGTATTGAGCCCACTAACGTGTCATTGGGTGGGGGTGGTTGAAACCCCCATTCCTATAGGAGCCCACACCTCAGAACTGCTGATCACATGCCCCACTTGAAGTGCAGACAAACCCTTAGATTTTAAAGGCAGAAAGACATTATATCATCTTGTCTGATCTCCTGTATTTCACAAGCCATATAAATTCACTCAGTTACTCCTGTATTGAGCCCACTAACGTGTCATTGGGTGGGGGTGGTTGAAACCCCCATTCCTATAGGAGCCCACACCTCAGAACTGCTGATTGC